GATGGATGGATGGATGTTGGATGGATGGATGGATGGATGTTGGATGGATGGATGTTGGATGGATGGATGATGGATGGATGGATGTTGGATGGATGGATGTTGGATGGATGGATGAACTTTAAAATCTTTTTTTCTCTTTCCAAACGTTTCCATTCAGGACCGTATGTGACCTTTGACCTGTCCTGACCCTGAACCCCTCCAGCTGCACCGCTCTGCGTGTTGGACTGTTATTCCCATTTAACCTCCAGCCTGAGCGAGGTCAGAGGTCAGCCAGGCAGGAAGTGACCTCACAGGAGCAGCTGATGGACACGCCCACTCCGACTCCCGACAGCCGAGTCCAGATGCAAACTTTACGCTCGCACACACACGTGAGCAGGAGCACACACACCGTTTCCACGGTAACCGGGGCGGACGGCAGCGCTCTGAGCTGCTGGAGGGTAAGACAGGAAGTGGCATCTGTTCCCAGGTGAAAGCTTCCTGTCTGACCGCTGGCCGGGTTACGGCAGCGCGGCGCGCACAGGAACTTTTGTCAATTTCAGAAAGTTCACATCTCTTCATTCTAAAAATTCTTAAAAACAGCAAATCAAAACGTTCGGCTTCCACTGTAGAACTTAAAGACAAAATAAAAGCCTGCAACTAATTTCAAAATAAAAGCATCGTGCATATCTTTGGCTCTGAAACCAGCGGCTGTGTCTCGTGTCGTTTCTTACCCATGACGCTGTCTGTGCCGTTGGTGGGGGCGGTACAGGAGGCGGTGCTGTAGTGGTTGGCTCCGCCCCCTCCGCCGCCTCTGTGGAAGCTGGACATGGGAGGAAGGCTGGAGCTGATGTCTGCGGATGAGGAGTGCGACGGGTAGCTCTGCGGAGAGACGGGAAGCGTTAGCGGCGCCTCCAGCCCTCCCGGCGGCGCCGCGGCGGCCCGGCTCACCAGTCGGTCGTGAGGGTGGATCCCGCAGTAGGAGGAGCTCTGGGCAGCGCTGTGCGCCGAGTTCCCGCCCCCCAGCATGCTGCTGTGGTAGCCCTGCTGGCTCATGCTGCTGCTGCTGCTGCTCCAGGGGTCGCCGCTGTGGTGACCATCTGACCGACAAACAGGAAACTTTCCTCAGAACCAGAGCAGCTCAACTTTGTCTAAACTAAAAACTAATGGTGCATTTTCATGATTTAAACACTCAGAAAACCACTAAGACACAACCGTTAAAGTCTAAATATTTAGTTTCTTACTGCATTTTGTTTGGTTCACATAGGTGGCAGCCATGTTGGATTTTGAGTTTAAGGGAAACTTCTGACTTTTCAGGTTAAGTTTATAAGTATTTTTCTTGGTTCTGTCCTGTTTATTTTGCAAAGAATGTCAGTCAAACATCGTGTTTAATAACATTGGTTAAAGTTAGCACATTTTTCCTCTTTTTGTTTATCACCACTAAAACTGAAATTAATTTGACAGTAAAGGCATTCCGTATAATCATACCACAAAAAGGGCTGCATCTACAACTTCCTTTAATTATCGATTAATCAGTTATTTTAATAAAAATGCATATTCTGCAGATTAACCTTTTTTATAAGTATTATAAGTTTAAAAGATGCAAGTAAACAAATAATTTAATTAATTAGTTAAGAAAATAAGTTTTTTCTTGCCTAAACTGCAGTAACAGCATCTTTCAGTTATTTGTAGCATCGGCATCTGAAGGCCTGATGGACCGATCATCGATACGCTGGTTATTATCGGATTAACTGATTAATATTTGGATAACTAAAGGGAGATTTATTTTACTGAATCTGAACCAGCTGAAGCTGAAACTTTAAGATTCAAAGATAAAAGTTTTTAATCTTAAATGTAAAATATTTATATTTTTGTTCAGTTTTGGCTTCATTGCTGTTTTGCTCTTTCACCCATTTTGGAGTCTGTAAACTCCAGTTAGCGATTAATCGATTACTAAATGATTTGACGATTATTTCAAGAATCAGATAATCAGATTAATCAGATTAATCTGACTAATCAGATTAATCTGACTAATCTGATTAATCGTTCCTGCCCTAATCAGAAAGCCCTTCTCTCTGTGTTCAGGCCGTCTTGTGACTTGAACAGCTGTTTAGTTTGGAAACGTGACCGACTTCATGCATGAGCCTGAATTCAGACGCTGCTTCACCTCCAGAATAACCTGGTTAACCTGCAGACACCTGACATTACAACCAAGTTACAGTCTGGGAATCATTTCTGGAAGATGAAACCAAGTTCAGATGCTTCAAGGGAAAAACTATTTTCAGAATAAACACTCTAAAGTTGTGAAACTAATCAAACTCCTTGACAACATATCTTGTTAATTCTTTGGACAAAGTTACGACAGAGTAAAATCAGTTTTCAGTCCAGTTAGATCTTTTCCAGGTTTTCCAGGTGTGAATGTTGCTCTGGCCTCACCTGGCATGAAGAAGGAGCTGGGGAATCCGGCGCTGGGCGGCTTGGAGGACGGGTAACCAGGCGAGTCCCGGTTGTAGTCGGCTGTGCTGGCAGACGGAGCGTAAACCTGCAGAAACACCAAACGGCAGCAAAGATGGCGGGAAATCAGCATCAGGAGTTTGTTTCACACAAACATCACTTCCAACTTCAACTCGCAACACAGAAACGGGTTTTAAAAGCCTTTAATGTTTTACATCACAGAATTAAAGGCAAGAAAGATTAAAGTCTGAACTGGAAAACCTTTTACTCAAAACTGAACACAGAAAACCGAATAAAGATGGAGAACAGTCCTTTGTTTGTCTTTTTTTGTTATAAAAGATCAAGATAGATTTACTTCCAGTTAATCTGAACACATCTGTTGTCCTCAGAAAATAAGCAAAATCACATCTGGTTGGAAAACAGGGCAGATTTATGGATGATTTCATGTCTGTGTTGATTCTAGTTTGGTGAGGAAATACTCTGCTGGATACCAGGTAACCTTTAGCTACAGACAGATTCCAGAAAGAAACATTTTAGGTTACAGAAACAACTTTGAACTTCTGATAAATTACCATCTAAATTAAATGCAAGTTCCAAAAAGTGACATTAAAGTTCTGGAAAGCAACATCCTGTTTCCAAGAGAGAAGCTGTCAGAATACAGCTTCCAGTTTGCAACTTTTGGAAGGTAAAGAGGTTCTTAACTAAAACAATGATTTTAAAGTTCTAGAAAGAGAAAAAACCAACCAATGACTAATATACCAAAAACAAACTGCTGCACCAAATTCACCAAACGGTTCTGACCAGAAGATTCACATCGTTTAAACTCCATGTAACCAGAAGCAGAGACACAGAGAAGACAAACTTCTTCTCTGTGTTCTCTTCTCTGAGTTTCAGGGCGGGGTCATGGTTTCTGCAGGGGGTCACCGCCCCTCTGAGCACGTGCACGGCTCTGCGTGCTCTGAGCACGTGCACGGCTCTGCGCGCTCTGAGCACGTGCACGGCTGGGCGCGCTCTGAGCACGTGCACGGCTTGGTGCGCTCTGAGCACGTGCACGGCTTGGTGCGCTCTGAGCACGTGCACGGCTGGGCGCGCTCTGAGCACGTGCACGGCTTGGTGCGCTCTGAGCACGTGCATAGCGTGCGAGCGGCGAGCCGTGACGCCGACTGGCGCTCCATGACGTAAACTGTGGAACAGCTGCGGAGGAACGCTCCTCACTCCTCCTTCCTGATGAAACATAGAAAACTCTCCGCAGATCCACCTTCAGCCTCCACAAAAACATCAGAGGCTTTTTTTAGATTTGCATATGAATGGGAGACAGATGTGTTCATGCGGAGACGGAGATGAAACCAGAAACACTTCCCACCGTCAGCGAGGGGATTATTAAAAACAGAAAAAGCCTCTTGGGTCATTTTGGTCAAACACAAACCTCATGGACCTTTTCTTTGATTTAAAAGAGAAAATAAATGTTTCCTGTCATCCCTCCTGTTGTCTGTCCTAAAGTCTCTTAACGATATTCACCTCCCTGCTGCCAACCTGACGAGTTCGTTGCTAACTTTAGCAGAACTGCAAATATGGATTATTCAAAAGGTCTGGACATCCTGCAGGCTTTCCAGTAAAACACAGGACAGGAGAAACGCATGCAAATAAATTCAATTCTGTTTTAAAATGGAAAATAAACATTTTACTCCTTTAACGAACCGAGTCATTTGTGGGTTGATACATTTTTGCAATAACTGATTTATAATTAGAAAGTAAAAACTCCTTAGTAAGAGGTTCTTTTAGCTCCAGTTAACTAATAACTCCAATATAGCTTCAATAACTAATCAATCATGATTAAACCAATCAGAGCTGAAGCTTAGTGACTTATAATCTGTTGGTCAGACCAGGTGGTCACCGATCGGCCAGGAAACTGGAATCGGTGCATCTTCAGTGATTTCTGCTTCGTTGTTGATCATTTTGATTAAAACAATAAATCCAGTCGCACAATTAAAAAAACAGATGCTTAACATTTTGGTTGTTCTTGTTTCTTATTAAATGTTCACACACTCCCTGACATGGTTCTGCTGCAGTCGCACCACGGTTGGTTCTGAAGAGGTTCTGGCTGGACAGATGGTCCAACATCTTGTCATGTCAGCCCATTTCAGCTGAAAGCATGATGCTGCCACCACCTTCCTAATTGAGTACATTTGTGTTTCGATCCATTCTGACCCAATGTTTTAACTTAAATCTGAGTTATGGATCCAGCTCTTGTTTCTGATCCCACCCTGACTAACTGAAGGCTTTGACTGGACCTCCGTTTGGCCGACTCTCACTCTGCTGCGCCGCCTCCAGATGTTCGCTGCGGCGCTGCTGCAGCTGCTGCGAGTCGCCGCTTCCTTCCTGAAATGCACCTTGCAGCAAATCCTCCGATTCCACTCAGCGTCTGCAGATTTCATCAGGGATGAACTCTGACTTCCTCTGAGAACCCGACTCTGATCATAAAACCACATTCACCGACCCAAACCCGCCCCACACACACACACACACACACACACACACACACACACACACACACACACACACACACACACAGATATGCACGCACAGGACCGAGCCCCTGATCCCACTGAAAATATTTAGAGCTGCTCTCATGCGTTGCAGACATATTTTCCCACTGAATGTGTTGTCAGACGGGTGTGGAAAGGCTGTGATTTGTGCGTGTGCGTGTGTGTGTGTGTGTGTGTGTGTGCTGCAGACAGACATGAACAGGTGCAGAGTGTGTTAGAGTCGGAGGAATGCAGGGAGACACAATAACAACCTGACTTCCTGTCCTCTCAGACATGGAAGCAGCAGCATTCCCACAGTCAGCAGCAGCCAATCAGAGAGCAGAGAAAGTTTCATCTATTTTACTTTATTTATGCTGATAAATGAGGAAAAACGCAACAATAAACTGATTCTAACCTTAAAAAGGTTTGGAGCTGAATATTAATATAAACATGTAAGAAAACAAAAAATGAAGATTTAAGCCTTTAAAACGCATCAAGAAACAATTTAAAGACAATATTTATAAAGGGTGCTCAAAGTGAGGCACAGGGGCCATTAGCGGCCCTTGGAATAATTTTTTTGGCCCTGGACAGCAGTTCAAGACCAGTACAGATTTGATTCTCCACTTTTTTTTCAATCTTCTAAAATAAAAAGTATTTTTTCAAGGTTTCTGCAGTTTTTACTAACTCAGATTTAAGACTTTTTAAGACCATGAATGGAATTTAAGACCACAGAAATATGAACCTTTTGCTCTCCATAAGGTCACATATACGGACGCTAAGCTAACTTAGCAACATTTAGGCAAAAGAAGACAAAAAATGTAACAAAATCAGAATCAGCCGGTCAGATGTTTTTAAAGATCAGCAATCAGCCAGAAAACTGCAGAGGAAGTTTCAGAGGATTCAGAGGAAAGTTTTTATTTTTATTGCTGAAATTTGATAAAAAAATAATTTTCTAGAGAATATTCAATCCAAAAAATTAGAAAACTATTAAAGAAAACATCTTTAACTGATGATTAATCGGATAACAAACTGGCACATTATGCAGATTTTCTATTCAACCACTTGAGCCTTTTCTTAAATACAACATTAGAAATGTATTAAAAGATAAAAATGTTACTGCTCAAAATGCAATCAATTCATTCTCTGAGTGAATTTGAACCTGGTGAAGCTGAAACTGAGGATAAAACATATTTAAGAACCAAAACGTTTTTACATTAAATGTAAAACATATCTTTCTATTGAACAATTTTGGCTTAAAGCTCTGAAAATGTTGCATTTTTCAGAAAATTGCCTTTTTAGAGCCACTTAATGATTAATCAATTACTAAATTAGCTGACAATTATTCTAATTATCGATTAATCATGATTAAACCGATTAATCGTTTCAGCTGTAGATATCGGCCCCTCGTTTTTCATACGTTTGCCTTCATAAAATGTAGAAATTCTCCTCAGAGAGCCGAGATCCAGCCCAGATTAGGCCCGGTTTCTGGACCAGAACCGGTTCTGCCCGGCAGGAGAGACGCATGACGGATCTGGGATCTTCACAGGAGACGAAGCATCGCGGTCTTCATCAAAGCCTGGCTCTGCGTCGCCCCGGGCCGAAGAAATTCAGCCGCATTCCAGCTCAAACTGGTTCCTGCTGGAGCTGGAAACACGCAGCGGCTGCAGAGTATCGCCATGGAAACATCGGCCCGCCGTTAGCTCGCCGCGTTAGCGCCGCGGCGGGGAAGTATCGATGAGAACGGAGCGTTTCAGACCGAACCGTCGAGGGAAACGGCAGAACGAAACGCTTCGGGTTGGAGGGAGATAAAAAGACGGTAAATGGAAACAAAAGAGGGAAGAAAAAACCGGAGGCTTTCAGTCGTTCTGCAGCTTTTGATGCTTTTCTGCCAGTTATTGTCTCCAAATGTGAGGAGCATCTGTTCAGCCTCTCCGGCTCCACCTCTGCTCTCAGCGGGAAAACGGAGCGAAAACGAGGAGAAGAAGGAAAGCCTCGTATGATCCCAACATTTATTAATAAAATACAAACACTTCGGTTCTTTTGCACCGATTCCCAGTTTGAAGAGCAGATTCTAATTTAAACAAGTTCAGATTTTTCTTTTTCTCATAAATGATAAAAAATGCAGATTATGACCAAAACACAGAAACAAATGAAACATATTCATTACTGCAGTCAGAACAATGTAAAATGAACAGCAGCCATGTTTGGTTTTTAGCTAAATGGTCTTTTTGTGAATCATAAACATTTTTACTGCAGCTTCCTAAAGTTTTTCTACGAGCAAAGCAAAAACGCAGAAGCATTTTCAGCCAGCTGACCGGCAGTGCAGCTCAATAAAATAGATCAGATTTATTTCTATTATTATTATTTTTCTGTTTCAGCCTGAAACTTAAATTCAATCCTGTAGGTTTTCAAACTGTTCAAGGTCATTTAGGGACCCTGAAGGTCGTTCATTTCTCTGATTCAGCAAAGGATTCTGGGAAAAAAAGGAGCAGCTGCTTTGGTGGAAACAGAAACAAAACCAAACAGACGGGTCCAAACTTTTAGCTAAACTAGAATATTTGTT